TGCCCTTTTGCACTTACTATGAATCTTAGCCAGGAACTTGAATACTGGCTCATTGTTCTTTTTCCTTCAAAGTTTGTAAAAGTTGCACTTTCCAAATTTTACAACTTTTCCATGCCAGTCTGATTCATTTTTCTTTATAAATAAACTATCCTTCCTGTCTTGAAGCCTTTCTTTATTTTGGGTATTCAGACAATTCATCTACATATGACTGTGTTTGTATCTTTTTTTTTTAGCTTGGTAGGCCATTTCAGTCTAAAAATTCGGGTCTTTATATATATATATATATTTTTTTTTTTTAAGATTTATTTTTTTTAAGATTTATTTATTGATTTATACAAGCACTGGGTACAGTCAGAAGCGCGGGAGGGTGAGAGAATTCACCAGAGCCAGAGCGGGGAGCAGAGCAGGCAGAAGGACCGAAGTACACTGCTGAGGGGAGCAGCGGGCGGCAGGAGTGGTCTGAGGCCATGTGGGACCCTCCTCCAGTGGCCGGGAGCAGCCGGGGATCGAACCGGTGCTGCAGAGGCTGCGGGCAGCTCAACCGCTGCGCCACCAGGGAGGCCCAACGGGTCTTTTTTTTTTTTTGACTCAGGGAAGTTTATTTTCAATTATCTCTTCAATTTTTACATTTTCATACTTCAATTTCTATAATTACATTCTCATATTCCAGAAAAGACACCATTATTCACACCTTTTTCCCTCTGATATTTCTCCTGTATCCCTTACCATTCAGTTTTGTTCTCTCTCGCAATTCTTCATGATCTTTATTGGGATTTTCAACACTATCCATTTCACATTGTATTAATGCATTTATATTATATATATAATGGTTTACTTTCTTCAGAACTCTTGTTTTCCAAACATTTCTTTGCAATATTAAAAAAAAAAAACGATTTATTTTATTTATTTATGCTATGAGAACTGGTATGTAGGCCAGAGGTGGTGGTAGTGGTGAGAGGACTCACCAGAGATAGAGTGGGGAGCAGAACAGGTGGATCTACTGAAATACACTGCTGAAGGGAGCAGCGGGTGAGACAGGAGAGGTCTGCTGGGCCAGGTGGGTCAGCTCCCTGGCCGGGGATCGGGGATTGAACTCATGCTACAGTGGCTGGTGACTGCTTGATAGCTCTGAGACTTTTAACTCCTGTGCCACCAGGGAAGTCTGCAAAATTTTCTTTTATCTAGGTTTCACTTATGTTGTAATTTTAATCTTCTGTTACTTCCATTATATCTGCCTTGAGGAGTCACCTGCTGTTGTTTTCTGAACTTCCTCACACTTCTTCAAGGTGGTGTATGTTCTTAAATACTTTGTGCTCTCTCTTAGGTTTATGGGTTTGGCAGGCAGTGAGAGGTAAGGGAGTAGACACCCTTGGCTCTCACATTTATCAAGGTTTGAGAAAATTAGGCTTTGCCTCAGCCTAGAAGATGGGCAGTTCAGATAAAACAAAACCTGTATCAACTGTCAGCAGGCTCCCCAGGGATGGACCAAGCCAACTCTTTTTTCTTTTCTTTACTAATTCTTCTCAAAATTATGGAATTTTCTCTTGTCTTAGCAGGCTGGATCCATAGAGAACACCAGTAGGGTCCTTGCCAATCATTATTTTCCCAATAACATCTATGGGTGTAGCGGACAAGGCTCCTTTCAAGTTAGACAAGAGCAGGATGTGTGATTGCCCTGGGGCAATACTGATGTGCTTTGTGCCCCAGGGACTGATCAGTGGAATGCCTTGTTAATAAGATTTGAGCCATGGATGGGAGTCGGGAGTATACTCACCCTCCCTAAAGCCCAAAATCCATTGTTCAGTTTGACCCACTCTTCTCTGCATCCTACAGCCTGCTCCATGACTCCTGTTTCTCTTCTTCTGTGTTACTGACACAACAAACAATAGAGATTTGTTGTATTTGTTATATAGATCTAGAGCCCTAGATCTATATAATCTACTTGAAATCTCAAGGCTCATTCATGTGGACTCCACTCTAGCTTCAACAGCGAGCCATATTTTACTGTGTATCTTCCCAGCAGGAGGCAAGAGGAAGGCAGAAGCATGAACTCAGATCCTACTTACTAAAATAACATGGAATCATTCACTACCACCTATCTCACCTCCTCTAATAGAAAGACTATGTCTCTCTTGGGAAAATACTCAGGGAGAAGGAAGCAGTTTTCTTTATTTCTAGTAAACAAGAGTCCTGGGTAATTTTATTTTATTTTATTATTTTTTTAAAGAGTTTTTTAAAAATATATATATTATTTATTTATTTATTTATACAAGCACTGGGTATAGTCAGAAGTGCGGGAGGGTGAGAGAATTTACCAGAGCCAGAGCGGGGAGCAGAGCAGGCAGAAGGACCAAAGTACACTGCTGAGGGGAGCAGTGGGCAGCAGGAGAGGTCTGCGTGCCACGTGGGACCCTCCTCCAGTGGCCGGGGAGCAGCCGGGAATCCAACCAGTGCTGCAGAGGCTGCGGGCAGCTTCCCAACCCAGCGCTCAACCGCTGTGCCACCAAGGAGGCCCCTGGGTAATTTTAGATGTGTACTGGAAGTCTTATGGGGATTGACTAGTGTAGGCAGATGTGACATGTAGCAATTAAAAGTGAGATTGCTAGGGAAAAAATCTCGCCTGACCCATGTAACTGGAGGATAACAGAGATGGGAACTGCCTCAATTCTAGAGAATAAATAGGACATTCAGATAGGTCTTGTTCCTTCCTGATTAAATGGCTTGACCAATTGCTTCTTCCACCTGCCCAACCACTTCTTCCTCCTAAGTTGAAATGTCACTTTTTTTTTTTTTTTTGTGGGACCCTCACTGGTGGCCGGGGAACGAACTGGCGCTGCAGAGGCTGTGGGCAGCCTCGCAGCCCAGCGCTCAAACGCTGCGCCACCAGGGGAGGCCCTGAAATGTCACTTTTTTAAAGAAGCCTTTAGATTCTCCAGACTAGACAAAGTCTCCCCTTTTTTAGAAAGAGGTTTTGATTCTACTGATACTTTCCTGATATTTGACACCAATACTTTTTTTTTTTACTTTTTTCAATATTCACTTAATATGCATTGCCTTTCATGCTACACTACAACCTCCAGGAGGCAGGGAGAGTCTGTCATTCACTGCTGTTCCCCTACCTCAGTTCCAGGTACATACTGAGCACTCAATTACTGGAGGAAAGCAGCCACTATTCAGAGAATAAATCCAGCAAGTCACACAAAGATATAAAGGCTCAGATTCCATAGTACAGGGTTGCTCACACTCCTACATACTGTGTTCTCCTGAATACAGTTGATTTTTTCCAACAACCCCTTAAAATGAATTTTCAGAATAGAAAGGGTGTAACAGATAATGACTTTTGTATGAATTTCAGACAGATTCATACCAATAATATCAATATATTTTCCCAGTAACTGAAATTTTAAGATAAATAACTCAACTCTGAATTCTCTCTCCCTCAGTTAGACTAATAGTCCTGTTTTCCAGCCTCAACTGGACTTCCGGAGGAGTTTGCTTGTACCACTTAGTTCTAGCTCCCAGAAAAGTTTTCATCATTTGAGAATCACAATGAATGAGCCTCACCTAGTAAAGCAGTAATGTACACATGATCTCATATGAAACTCAAGAATGGTTTTTTCAGTTGATGAATGGGGAATTATTCTGCCTCTCCTTTGCATCTTCTGGGAGAGAACAGAATTAAAAAATATATCTAAAGAGAAGAAGCTGGGCCTCCCTGGTGGTGCAGGAGTTAAAGTCTCAGTGCTATCAAGATATCACCAGCCATTGCAGCATGAGTTCTAACCCAACCAGGGAGCTAACCCACATGGCACAGCAAACCTTTCCTGTCTCGCCCTCTGCTCCCCTCAGCAGTGTTTCAGTCGATCCACCTGTTCTGCTCTCCGCTCTGTCTCTGGTGAATCCTCTCATCCCCTGCACCTCTGGCCTATCCCCCAAGTTCTTGTATGTCTTAAATATATGAACATGTGAATTATATCTCAATAATGCTCCATGCCAATGGTATATAACGACTCTGTCATTTGTAAGTGATTAATGTTCCATGACATTTCCTTATTTAATACTTTATTACTAGACAGGAACTTATTTCCAACTACTGTATTAAATATGTACATGTACCTTTGCATGCCTGTATGATTACTTTCTTTTTTCTTTTTCTTTGCATATAAGAACTAAGGTGTAGGCCAGAGGTGGGGGAGAAGGGTGTGAGAGGATTCACCAGAGACAGAGTGGGGAGCAGAACAGCCAGATTTACTGAATACACTGCTGAGGGGAGCAGTGGGCGAGACAAGAGGGGTCTGCTGCACCATGTGGGTGAGCTCCCTGGCTGGGGATTGAACACAGGGAGTAGAGGTGATGGCGCTAAGACTTAGCCCCTATGCCACCAGGGAGGCCTTATATGATTACTTTCTTAGAAACACAGAACTGTGGACAAAGGGTCTGCATTCTATAGTGCATGATTGTTCTTCAGAAAGGCCATGCTAATTAATATTCATCTCAATGGCAAACAAGAATATTTCTTTCTCCCCATTCCTACCAACAGTAAGCATCATTGAACTTATTAATCTCTGATAATGATAGCTGGCATCATTTTTAAATGTGTATCTCTTTAATTATTGAATTTTAAAGTCATTTATTCATGAAATACCTGTACCCTTGTCCTTTGTCCATTTTTTGATCATTTTCATTCATTTTTCTGACATGCGCTACAAATTGCTCTTACTGATCTGTCTCTTAATTTTGCTTATGACATCTCTCTTGCTACCCATCTATTATTTTATATACTTAAATCTATCATTCTTTTCCTCTATGGTATCTGACTTTAATGTTTAGCCTTTCATATCCCAGTAACATAAAAATAACATTCTATGTTTTTTTCTAGTGCATGTCCTTTTATTTTATATTTCATTTGGACAATCCATTCATTCCCTACTGAAATCTAATTCTGAGGTACTCGAATTCTTTAATTCCGGCTTGTGGAATCTGTGCAAAAGAAAACTTACCCAACTGCTGGGCCCATTTTATGGCACTACCAGTGTCTCCTGCATTGCCTTCAGCTAAACATACAACTTCTTGCCCAATCTTCCACCCAATTAATGGGTAAAAGCCTTAAAGACAAACAATGCAAGGCATATAATAAATAAATAATTCATTACAGAGACATCTACAATGGAACAATTTAATTATCTAAAAAAAATAGCAAAGTGGCTCTAAAGTCATACTGCCTGAGTTTAATCTCAGCCCTCTCTATTTTTTTATTAGACAAAGTCTTAAAAGTTTCTAATCTCTTAGCCTCAGTTTCCTCAACTGTAAAATGGTCAGAGCATTCCTGTGAGAATTTGAGTTAGCAGATTTAAAAAAACCAAATCTAAGCATAGAATCTGGCAAATTATATGGACCATAAATATCAGCTTTTATTAGCTACAGGCTAATAGAGCTAGATATAGATATAAATGTCTCAAGAAACAATATTTTAATTGAAAAGTAAAAGATAACTTTGAGATTAGTTTGCTAGAGAGCTATTTGGTTGTATTATCTGTGATTTCTAAGTAAGGCTTTAAACAGAAACAACCTAACACAACAATCTGCATTTTCTAGTTACCATTTTTCTAGTAAGGGGGAAAAGAGCTTGAGGAGGAAAGAAATGTAGGGAAAAGTCTTTAAAATCCAGAGCACAAACTAAGAGCCTCCTGCCCTCCTGGTAGCAACACATTTAAATTCCTTGGTTTGCATATTCCAGGGTTTTCTTCATTAAGGAGAGAAAATTCTTCTTTAAAAAATTTTTTTTCAATCATTTCTTTTCTTAATGAAGTGCCATTGTTTTATATCCTGTTATTATTTTAGCAGTATAGGATTTCTCTCCTCAGATGTGATCACACCATTGTTCTCCCACCACCAAAGCACCCATAATCGTCCATCATAGTCCATTGTGGGACAGCAAATTCTTAGCAATTGTCATCAAAATCCTAAATATGCAGGGATCACTAGTTGAGAACCACTGCCCCTAAAAGATATCACAAAATGGCAAATTTCTAACGCATAAAAGAAAAGAAAATGTGGAGTCCGAGAAAGATGTTTTAAGAAAATATAACATGTATTAGAGGTAAATATTTAGAAAGCTGACCAAAATATCCTAGCCTTCTGAATTTTTTGATAATCTTTTTCTTTTTTTTAATACTTTCAATTTATAGTACACAAAGGAAATGGGAATTAACTCTAAGAATATAGTGAAAAATATGTCAGAGAACAGTCTTAATATAAAATGGAAAGTGTCACAGAAGTTAAATATGAAAGTGGTATTTTATTGATATATAGTATAAATTCTAACTATTTACCTCCAACACTCTGTTGAGGTTTATTTCCAGTATTAATATCCAAAAATGTCCCAGTTCCCATGGTTAATTTCACGTCTCCTGTCTGGAAGCAGCACTCTCCAAACATGGCTGATTGCTGGTCAGCGACCTACCAAAAATGTTCAAATGTTAAGACCTACTAGCCTTTAGCAGTGGCATTTACTGTATCCCACTGTCTCATTTATTATATTCTCACGGTTCAACATTTTCTTTTCTTTTTTCCTTTTCCTTAAAACAAAAACCAAAACCCTGGATAGAGCAAGAAGTAACAACTATAGGATGGGAGTTTCCTAGGCCTTACACAACATAAGGTGGAAACTACTGTATGTGCCTCAGGAAGCTTTAGTGGGCAGTCTACTTCATTAATTTTAAGTATCGAGGAATAACCTATGAAATAAAGGTTAGAGTTAAAATTGTTCAGAAAAAAATAAAAATTTTCATTTTGAACTTAGAAACAGTTGCATTCATTAAAATCATCTGATCTCACAAGTTTGCTTTTAATAAGAACAATAGGGTGTGTTTAACTAACACTAGAAGTCCATGTAAGTCAAAATCATACATCTCATAATCAGACATTTCTGATAGAAGAAAAATTATAACATTTGTTAATATATTTACATATAGATACACTGAACAATATTTTAAGGACCAAAGTCATTGGAGGGATACTTCTTCACTAATCTGAAATTCTTCCAGTGAGTCTAAACCTGGGTCCACCCCTAAATTTAATAACACTGATCCTTTCTAAATGAGCAGGAATTTGTAACGTGAGAATTGAATTCGCTTGCTTCCTCTACCAACTGTGGCAACTATCCACTTAGGGAGAGCCAGTCTATACCTCCTGCTTAAACTGCCAAAATATCAAAGGCAAAGTCTGAGTTTCCATACAATCTCTCCATCAGGTAATCCTTGGATTCCCCAAGTTCTGATTCATTGAGCCACAGAGAAAGAATATAATCAAAAAAGAACCCTGAAAAGTTAAAAAAAAAAAAAAAAAAAAACACCAGCTTACTTTTTACTTATCTATAAGCTTCTCTACTAGTAGATGCTGGCTAAGGATTTTAGAAAACATAAATACAACATACTTCTTTTCTTTAAATTGCCCCGCCATTGCTTGTGACACATTTACACTGTGTCAAAAATAATATGTTGGCCCTATCATGATTTTGTTTTTGTTTTTTTGTCTTAGTATATCCAATATAAACCAAACATTAATAAAAAAAAAAAATGACTTAACACTTTTCCTGAAAAACAATATAGAGAAATCAGAAAAGGTTATAAAGTGCTCCTGTGACAGAAGACTGGTCAGTGGTCCCTTGCCTAGTACACAGTGAAAACTTCTGATTATATCCAGGGTCCTTTAACTTAAAAAGAAAGAAGATACTTAAACTTCATTTTGCAATGACCTTTAGTCTCCTAAATCTACTGGAAACCATTTATATTTATTTATTTAGTTTATACCAGACAAGGGAAACTCAAATTTCAGACTTACCAAGGCCACTATTGGTATAGGCACACCAAATATGTCTTCATCTACTGATCCGAAATTGTGGCTTCAAATAAAAATTAATTAAAAAGAAAGTATTAATTCCAAAATTTAGCAAATTGTTTTTAGCTAAAGACAAAAAATTAGATAATGAACATATAAGCACCTCAAATATATAATAAATTGCTTCTCCCAACCAAGGCAAAATGAATTCAAGGAAAATTTTGCTGCCTGTTTTCTATGTCTGATGCTCATTATTACCTCGTATCTTTCACAGGAGGTAGGACGGTGAGTGGTATGGAGAGCAGGGAGGTAACAAATCCACTCCAGCACATCTGAGGAGAAAAACACATCATCAGAATCCACACTAAATTACACAGAAATAGGTGATTCAAAAGAAAGAAAAAACCTTACCTCATATGGGTCAAAAAGTCCAGTTGTACTAGCATTAGAAAAATCTGTGGCAAATTCAGAACCTAAATTAACATTGGAAATAATATCTTTATTATTAGATAGCATAAATGAACACCTATCCCTACTTTACACTAATCTAGACCTTTGGAAATAGAAATTCTAATGTCTATTTCCAGTGCAATCTCCAAAAAAATTCCCCACATAATCTTTAAGAACTTTTATAGTTTACAAAAACACTTGTACACATTGTCATGATCTCTGGTTTAAAAGATGAGGAAAGGGCCTCCCCTGGTGGCGCAGTGGTTGAGCGTTGGGCTACGAAGCTGCCCACAGCCTCTGCAGCAGGTTTGATTCCCGGGCAGCAGGGCGAGGGTCCCGCATGGTGCGCAGACCTCTCCTGCTGTGCCTGCTGCTCCCCTCAGCAGTATATTTTTGTCCATCTGTCTGCCTGTTCTGTTCCCCACTCTGGCTCTGGTGAATTCTCTCACCCTCACGCGCTTTTGACAGTACCCAGTGCTTGTATAAATAAAAATAAATAAATCTTTAAAAAAATAAATAAATAAAAGATGAGGAGAGGCGGGCCTCCCTGGTGGTGCGGAAGCCTCTGCAGCAGGCCAAGGAGCAACTCACATGGCACAGCAGACCTCTCCTGTATCAGCAGACCTCTCCTGTCTCACCTGCTGCTCCCTCAGCAGTGTATTTCACTCAGTCTGCCTGTTCTGCTCCCACTCTGTCCCTAGTGAATCCTCTCACCCCCAGCATTTCTGGCCTATACCCCAGTTCTTGTATGCATAAAAAAATCTTTAAAATAAAAAAAAAGATGAGGAAAGGGGTGATGCCTATAATTATACCCAGTTGCAAAGTGGCAAATTTGGTATTGAACGCAAGTCTTCCTGCTCTTGAAATTTAGATGCTCTTCAGCATTAAATTTGAGGTTTCATCACAATGTTTAAATCATACTGCTTGTACAACAAATCTGCAATTAATCTAGTTTCCTAGGATAGCAAGGAACAGTATATGTGGAATATGTAAGGAAACAAGAGTCACTTCCACTTTTAAATTTTTAATTTTGTTTTTTAACTTGTTTCTTACCCTTTATTTGTTGTTATTATTTTAAAGATTTATTTTATTTATTCATGAATACAAGAACTGGGGTGCAGGCCAGAGGTATGGGAGGGGTGGGGGAGTGAGAGGATTCACCAGAGACAGAGCAGGAAGCAGAACAGGCGGACTGACTGACCACACTGCTGAGGGGAGCAGCGGGTGCGACAGGAGAGGTCTGCTGTGCCATGTGGGCCAGCTCCCTGGCCAGGGACCAAACCTGTGCCACAGTGCCTTTGACAGCTCCACAGTGTCAAGACTTAACCCCTTGTGCCACCAAGGAGGCCCCAACTTATTAATTTTTTTAAATTTTTAAATGTTTATTTATGCATATAAGAACTGGGGTAAAGGCCAGAGGTGTGGAGGGTGAGAGGATTCACCAGAGACAGAGTGGGGAGCAGAACAGGTGGACTGACTTAAATACACTGCTGAGGGAAGCAGTGGGCAAGTCAGGAGAGGTCTGCTGTGTCATGTGGGTCACCTCCCTGGCTGGGGATGGAACTTGTGCTGCAGTGGCTGCTGAGAGCTTCATAGTACTGTGCCACCAGGGAGGCCCTCCACTTTTTTTTAGGGGAATCATTCCTATCAGTAAAATTTCAGTTAGTCGAAATAGATTTATTGGCTCATCTTTACCTTTGGTGAGCTTATGTAACAACCAGGTATCAACAGTCCCAAAGCAGCAATTTTCTTCGTCAATTGCCTTTCTCACCTTGAAAACACAACAGCACAAAATCAATTCAAAAAGGCTAAATTATTAAGTGATCAATTAAGTGCCAAATACAATATAATTCCACTTTTAGTAAAAATTAAAATCACATACAGAAACAATTTCAGGAATATGCCTCAATTTTTCAAAGCAATTACTACAGGGTTGAAAGACTTTAGCTCTATATCAAGCCTGTGTTATTTTTGTGAGGACCAAAACAAAGTGTGAGTATGTGTATACATACATATATGTGTATACATGTAGATGTGTACATATATATGTATATTTCAGCATTAGATATACAAGTATGTATAAATATAAATAGCCTACAACAGAAAAAGGCCTACTACAGCCCACAGGTCAAGTTCAGCCCATTGTTTGTTTCTGTATAGCAAGTTAAAAATTGATTTTACATTTAATAGTTAAAAAAATACTTTGACACACGAAAACTATGTGAAATTCAAATTTAGTGTCCATAAACAGTTTTAGTGGAACACAGCAATGTTCATTTGTTTATGTTTATCAATAGTTGCTTTCAAGCTACAATGCAGAGCAGTTGCATCAAAAGATAGCATTATTCATCATAACCTACAACTGGGAGTAACACCAATGCACATGAAAAGAGTGTACAGATGGATAAACTATGGTAAAATCATAGACTGAAAATGAAATAACAATTAAAATATAAGAAAACAAATTTACACATACTATGGGTATATTTCACAAATACAATTTTAAACAAAAGGAGTCAGACACAAAAATGTAAATGCTATATAATTCAATTTATACAAAGTTAAAAAATATTCAGGCAAAACTAAAGTATATTATTGAAGAATAAATATATAACTTGTTAACTAGAAAGAAAATTATATAGAGCATTCTAGTTCTTCATGCAAGTAGTATTACATAGATATTTGTTCCACAATATATATCACTCAGTGATTCAATTTTGTTTTGTGCACTTTTCTATATGTGCTGATTCAACATACAAAAAGGTTTTAGAAAATGGTAATGATTCCTTGTCTTCCATCCAATATGAACTAGACACATAATTTTCCCTCAAATATTCAAATTACTATTTTTATTCCTTGGATTTTTCTTTCCCATACTACACACACACACACACACACACACACACACACACACACATCTTTCTTACCTCAGTGAGGTTCTGTACAATCCAGGCCAATCTCAAAGAAACATGCTGGGTTGTGAAAGTGAACAAACTGGCTGCTAAAAATCGTTTACTTCTGGTAAAAAAGTGAAGTAATCGGCTGGAACTGTGTATTAACTGTTTAAAAAATATTTCAGGAAAATGCATTTAATGATGGCTGATGTTTACATTTATTCCATATGCATGCAAATAAACCCAGTAACAAACAAGTTATTGAACTACTTGTAGAGTCTCAGTACTTAGGAAAAGCAAGTAAAGTAACAATCTAAAGTATGAAATGTATCACATCTACTGTATCTACTATGACCTTTTTAAAATGTTTTAAGTAGGGCCTCCCTGGTGGTGCAGCGGTTGAGCGCTGGGTTGCGAAGCTGCCTGCAGCCTCTGCAGCGCCGGTTCGATCCCCGGCTGCTCCCCGGCCACCGGAGGAGGGTCCCACATGGCGCGCAGACCTCTCCTGCCGCCCGCTGCTCCCCTCAGCAGTGTACTTCGGTCCTTCTGCCTGCTCTGCCCCCCGCTCTGGCTCTGGTGAATTCTCTCACCCTCCCGCGCTTCTGACTGTACCCAGTGCTTGTATAAATAAATAAATAAATCTTTAAAAAAAAAATAAAATGTTTTAAGTAAATATTTATTTTAAATTCTATTCTTTTCTTTTAAAGATTTGTTTATTTTTTTAATTTATTTTAAAGATTTATTTTTATTTATACAAGCACTGGGTATAGTCAGAAGCGCTGGAGGGTGAGAGAATTCACCAGAGACAGAGCGGGGAGCAGAGCAGGCAGAGGACCAAAGTACACTGCTGAGGGGAGCAGCAGGCAGCAGGAGAGGTCTGCGCGCCATGTGGGACCCTCCTCCAGTGGCCGGGGAGCAAACCGGCGCTGCAGAGGCTGCAGGCAGCTTCGCAACCCAGCGCTCAACCGCTGCGCCACCAGGGAGGCCCAAATTCTATTCATTTTTTAAAAAGATTTATTTATTTATACAAGAACCAGGGTACAAGCCAGATGTGCAGGAGGGTGAGAGGATTCACCAGAGCCAGAGCAGTGAACAGAACAGGCAGAGGCTGACTGAAATACACTGCTGAGGGGAGCAGTGGGCTAGACAGGAGAGGTCTGCTGTGCCATGTGGGTATCTCCCTGGCTGGCGGGGACTGAACCCACACTGCAGAGGCTGAGGACAGCTTCACAGTGCTGCGCTCAACCACCTGTGCCACCGGGGAGGCCCAAATTCTATTCATTTTTAATTTAATTTTTTTTTTTTAAATAGAGGCATGTTTTATTTATTTATTTATTTGTTTGTTTGTTCGTTTTGTTTATACATGCACTGGGTACAGTCAGAAGCGCGGGAGGGTGAGAGAATTCACCAGAGCCAGAGGGGGAGCAGAGCAGGCAGAAGGACCGAAGTACACTGCTGAGGGGAGCAGCGGGCGGCAGGAGAGGTCTGCGCGCCATGTGGGACCCTCCTCCGGTGGCCAGGGAGCAGCCGGGGATCGAACCAACGCTGCAGAGGCTGCGGGCAGCTTCGCAACCCAGCGCTCAACTGTTGCGCCACCGGGGAGGCCCTTAATTTAATTTTTGGATAATATGTGATTTCTCTCCTGAGGTGTGGTCACTGTAGTTACCCTCAACAACAAAGCACCCACAGTCCATCACCATATTCCCTTGTGTTCTTCCCCCACCTTGTTTGCATCCTTTCCTCCTTGTTTTAATTTCCTTCCCTCCCATCACGGATGCCTCATATTCATGGTGTAGTAAACACCAGAGGTTCAAGTATTTATGAAATCCTTTGAAAATACCATTTTATACATATTTACCTATTTTTAACTATGTCATTGAAGTGAGAGTCAATGAAAAAATGCTGTGTTTCTATTAGAAATAATACTTTTAGTTAACTTAGTATTAACCTAGAAGGAACTTTTCCTACCCATTACATGCTTAAAGTTTGAAATGTATTTTACCTAGTTTTATCTATATTTATCTATTGATTAAATATGAAATATATACAGTCTTAAATGGCTTGTTAGATGTTAAGAACACTTCAAACTGAAATGGGTTCTTCTCTAAGCATGTTACGCTTTTCTGTATTAGACTTAAGACAGGATCTTCTGTGAAAATGCATATAACCTTGGGGGTGGCTACTAACACCTGCATCTTTAGTCAAAATATGAACAATTAACACTTTTTGTTCATATAATTAACAAGTATGTTTAGAGTACATTCTACATATCAGCTACTGTGCTATGCCTTGAGAAAAGAGAGTGAACCACATAGGCAGCATCCTTGCCTTCTTAAAATTTAAATTCTAGTGGGAAGAGATGATAAATAAATAATCAAGTTAATAAATGGGATAATCTATGAGAAATGGTGGTAAAATGAACAACTCTTCAATGAATGACCAAATAAGAAAAAAATTTTGTTGGTTAAATTATGACATAACACTAACATATAATTAGTAGTTAAAAACGCATTCTGGGGCCTCCCCGGTGGCGCAGCGGTTGAGCGCTGGGTTGTGAAGCTGCCCGCAGCCTCTGCGGCGCCTGTTCAATCCCCGGCTTCTCCCCTGCCACCGGAGGAGGGTCCCACATGGCGTGCAGACCTCTCCTGCAGCCCGCTGCTCCCCTCAGCAGTGTACTTCGGTCCTTCTGCCTGCTCTGCTCCTCGCTCTGGCTCTGGTGAATTCTCTCACCCTGCCGCGCTTCTGACTGTACCCAGTGCATGTATAAACAAAACAAAACAAACAAACAAACAAATAAATAAATAAAACATGCCCCTATATAAAAAAATGCATTCTGATTTCAGAAATGTTAAAATAGGGAAAAAATGTATGTCTCATAACTCATACATTCCTGATGTGAATGTAAATGGTACAACCACTCTGGAAAACAGCCTGGCAGTTTCTTATTTAAAAAAACCATGCAGAGGGGGCAGAGCAACATGGCGGCGAGGAGACGCTGCGAGTAAGATCTCCCATTAAAAAAAGTTAATAGGGAGGAAAAGCGGCAGGTCCCAGTGAGAACTGGGACACGGAAGATAAACGGGTGACTCCAGCAAACTGCCCGAAGAAGAAAGTGGCCATAAAAGAGGACCAGAAGGGAGGGAAGCGCAGAACCCTGCTCCCCTCCCCCACCCACAGAGGCGGCACTCTCCGACCGGCAGAGAGGAGGAAAACAACAAACTAAACCAACCAACAAGAACAAACGACGCAGCAAGCGGGACTGTGAGTGGAAGGAACTATTGCAGCACCACACCCGTGAACGGGAGCTGAGGCGACCCTGCAGGATCCGCCGCGGCGGTGAGCGAACGGCTCCGGGAGCCATTAGAGAAGAACAAAGACCCCAGGAGACGCGCACACAGCCCGGGCTGCCGGTAAGCTTGTGCGGGAAAGTGGCGCGCTTGGCGCGCTTGAAAAGAAAACGCGGACCGGGATCGCAGCGGCCCAGGTCCCCGCGCCTGCGACCTAGGCTTGCGGGGAGACGCGCGGAGGTCCTCACTGAGGTGAAGGTCCCTCCCTGAGTAAGCAGGAACAGGCGCCCAGGCGGGGAGCGGGGTGCAAAAGGCGCCATTCCCGCGCACTGAACTGGGCTACAGCCCGCGTCCTGGACCTGAGGGCTTTGAACTGAGACCCGGGGCACGAAATTAGGGCGTGGGTCTCCCACGACGGTGGGGCACAAGGCAGACACAGCACCCCAAAGCTGTTGAGGTTTACCCTACCATTCCCGCTCTGTTCCCTGTCCCACGGGGTGGGGGGGGCGAAAACAGCCCCCAAGACAATAGGAGAGATCTCTGGCGCCACCTAGCGACCAGGAAAAAAAAGTCACTAACACCCCATAGAACAGGAAATTTCTTAAGATTGCTTGAAAAGGGCAGAAGGCTTCTGGAGGACCCAGTGGCCAGCAGGGAAGTTAGCCCACCCCACACCAGGCCCCTTCCGACCAGCAGTCTGAGCCCACAGAGGGAGCAGGCACCCACGTCCGGGGCAGACCGGGGGCGCAGAAGAGTGTGCCTGAAACCGGAGGCGCAGGGACTGCATCCCACTTCGCCATTTTAGAACAGGGACATTTCTTCAGTAAAAACTGCCTAAAACCAGCAGAAAGCTCCCCCAGAAGACAGAGATGGCTCCTGGAAGAGCCAGGGGAGCGGAGAAGTTCACCCCAAGATGCCAGTCAGTCCGAGCAACACAGTGTCCCAACGCATACGACAAATTAGAAAACAGACAGTAGGGAGTAGAAGAACCACACGCAACCTAACAACTCCTCAGGAAAGAAGCACACCACAAAAAGGAAACCACTCCCCAGATTGCAACGACAGCAACTTGAAGAACTTCTGAGCCTTCCAGAAAGAGAATTTAAAATTGCCATGATAAAAAAGTGATAGATCAGAAGAAGGAAATAGAGTCCCTAAAGAGGGAAGTAAAAGAAATGCAGGAGATCAAAGAATTAATGGAGGAACTAAAGAACTCTGGGAAAAGCAATGAAAGCAGAATAGATGAAATGGAAGAACGAATAAGTACTCTTGAAGACAAAGAAATAAAAGAACCAAAACAGAAAAGGAAGAGAAGTACGAAGGAAAAAGAATGAAGAAAGATTTCGGGAACTATCTGACTCCATGAGGAAAGGAAATATAAGAGTTATAGGAATTCCAGAAGGAGAGGAGAGAGATGTAGGAGCAGAGGAAAATATTCCAGGAGATAATTGAAGAGAACTTCCCAAATGCGAAGAAGGAGCTGAAAATTGATATACAAGAAGCAAGAAGAACACCAAACTTCCACGACGAAAGGAAAAACACAGCAAGACACATAATAGTAAAGCTCCCAAGAATCCAGGACAAGGAAAAAATAATGAAGCTGACAAGAGGGAAGAAACAGATAACATTCAAAGGAAAACCAATCAGGCTGACATCAGACTTCTCTGAAGAAACACTACGGGCAAGGAGAGAGTGGAGGGACATAGTCAACAGACTTCAAGAAAACAGATGCCAACAAGAATACTCTATCCCGCAAAAGCTCTCTTTCCTCCATGAAGAAGAATATGGACCTTCCCAGACAAAGAGAAACTCCGGAATTTCATTACGACTAAACCCCCACTCCAAAAATACTACAAGGAATTCTAAGCCAGAACCTCA